TGTCACCCTATGATAAAAGAATAAACTTACAAAAAAAAAAATCATGTCACCAACTTAACAACTACAGTGTTCACTTAACAACTGTGGCAAGAAAGGTCGTAAAATAGGGCAAAAAAATCTCAGATGTCTCATTTAACAACAGAAATTATGGGCTCAATTGTGACCGTAAATTGAGGCCTGCCTGTAACTGATGGAGTAATTTCTGCCAATGGTAAAAAAAAAAAAAAATCAGCAGTCAAGAAATTTGCGTTTGCGGCAATAAATCACCAGCTGGGCAAGACCACAAACTGGAAGGCATTTTAGCCTAGCTTCTCCTGTCAAATATGGGTTAGTTTATGCTTTAATGACAGATGAATCCAAAATATAGTGTCAGTCTAGTAATCTTCAAGCTAAAATGCTAAGTGTTAGCTCCCACTTGATGTTATATAATCAATCAATGATTCAATAATGGTAAGTCCAATTACTAATGTAATTAAACTTTGTGTGTGAGAGGTAAAGCATATCTCCTGTATCAGCTTCTCTTCCATTGGGCTGAACTAAATGCAAGTTTCCACATGTCATCCAAGTATTTTTCTTACATGCCTTGCATAGAAACACTGCCTTTGTTTTAACTGGAACTGTTGCCAAAATCATGGAGCTAAATTGTACAAACATGAAAAGTGAGGATTTGATTCCAGAATAAGAATAATATAACTGGGCCTGTTTGCGATCTTAGGTATGTGAGGCCGACATTTTTTAAAAATTAAGCTCTCTTCAGATGGATTATTGTTTATTCATGCTAAATCCTGCAATATATACCACTGTGTTTTCCAGAGGGGAGAAATGTATAAAGCAAAAAGAAATAAGCAGCCCAACATGTTACAAATGGAAAAATGGCAAATTGTTACCAAACTTTTAGCTTAATTAACAACATTTACTTTCTGAATCAACAAAGGTTTCAGTTTTAAACATTGTTTCACTGAGCCAACAGAAATATATTCTACAACATACATGAAAATATAAAGCATAATATATATTAAGACAAACCAGTATAATATTGTAAATGCGCCACCAATATTTCCTAACTATTATATCTTTTGGGTTGTACCTAATCTAAACCAAGGTCTACCTCTTTGTGGTTTACTGTATTGTGTGAATAAGACTTGGTTCCCACATCACACCAGGATGTTTATTTTTTTTACTTAAAAGACAATTTCCTGGACAAAGCAAAACCAGTAAAAATAACCAGATTAATCTAACACAGGGGTCTTCAAACATGGCCCTTTTATTACTTGTGGACTTCAACTCCCAGAATTCCTCAGCCAAGCATGCTGGCTGAGAAATTCTGGGAGTCGAAGTCCACAAGTCATAAAATGGCCAAGTTTGAAGACCCCTGATCTAACAGGTTAAGACAAAGCTAAACAATGCATAGATTTTTTTGTGTGTGTTTGGGAAACTATGTTAGTCATCAGCCAAATACTGATTACATAGTTGGGTGCACATTGTTGTACTTTGAACCTGAGGCTTCTGAATTTTTGTGAGAATTGTCTTTGAACTATGCCCTGATAGGCATATGACACCAAGGGCTAGCTTTGATTATTTTCTCCAAGTGTGGCTACTGGGGCTTAACCAAGCTTAGTATTAACAAGGAACAGGATATTTATCTGAATTACATCAGGCATCATAGCAAACACTTGACCGGTGATAATTTTCTGGTCACTTCCCATAATCTTGGCCTGTGTTCTAAGTCCAATACAGAATTTCAGAAGTTGAGACCACTTATATCATAATTTATTGATTTATTGATTATAGTTTATTAATTGATTAGTCTTACAAACATGTAACAATAATAAAACACAAGTAAAGCACAGGATCTAATTCCAGGATATGAATTTTAGATCATAAGAGTCCAATGCATTGGTGAGCTGTCCAGATAGAACAAATCAGGAAATCAATTCCCAAGAGGACAAGAACTATCTTGAGATCGAATCAAATGTGGCATCTTGACTGTGTGAAAAAAAAACAAAACGAAAACCCTAGTGTGACGTGGGAACCAAGTCTTATTCACACATTACATTCCTTTCCTCCTTTCCATAACCACATGATCAGGAGCAGCAGCCTGAATCTTTTCTGAATACTACTTCCCTTCCCAAGACTTAAGATATGCTTCTCTCCTTTTGCTGCATAATAAGTTTCTGAATATTTGCTTCAAGGCTGTCTCTCTGGGTCTCAGGGATCCCAAAAGTATCTGAAGACAGGGCTTGAAATGGAACCTGGTCAAAATAAGAAAATCTCTTTCTGTGATTAGGAAACGACTCTTTTGGTGATGCAATTTAAAGCATTTCTATTTTTTGCAATCACATCATGCTGCCGGCCGATGTGACTGGGTTTTGTATCACGTAACAGGAAAAAGGCAAGGCAACGATGCCACAGATCGTCCTGTTTGAATGTGATACTCTTGTTTTTATTCTCTCCCCTTCCCTTTTAAACAGAGCAGCTGTGTATTTTAATGTCACGGCATTTTTATTGTTACAGTTCAATCATTTCATTTTTAATAACCTCTAGAGATGGTTACATGGGAGGCTGTGTAACAAGATATTCAATAAGTAACACATTTTAAATCAATAAAGGCTATTGGGATAGAAAGAATGGAAAAGAAGGTTCTTGGCGGGCATCCTAAGGGGATGATGAAGGCCCCATACTTTTGATTGTTTTGCAGATTTTTTTCTTTGTTTGATGGTTATATTTTATAGTTAGTGGTTTTACTGCTGTTGTGAACTGCCCAGAATTAAAATAGGAGGCACACAACTCTTTAAAATAAATACACACACACACCCCTTTTCTAAATAATGCAAAGTTCAGATATCCTCAACATACCATCACAATTGAGCCTAAACTGTTGTTAAGTTGAGGACATTGTTCTGGGTTCAGATGATATGGTATATTGAAGCAACAGATGACATAATGTGCCATCTGGGTTCAAACATGAATCATGCTATGGTGTTACTGCTTTTAATTCTGACTTATGAAGAATAGGCTTCTTCTACCTTTTGTTTTCTTGATAGACCAAATCACATCGTTTCACAGAAACAGTAAAAAAAAATCATATGGTACTTTTAATGTCTCACGTTTATTTTTGTCTTCTTCCTAGAGCACAGTCTCCCCCCCCACACAAACACACTTCACCATGTATCAATACATTCCTTCGGCTGGAATAACGCATCACTCACCCAGTGAAACAGCGGGTGTGTTTTGCAAACACTTAGTTTATCTTTTAAGTGGTGCACAATTCTTCATTATTTGCTTTGGGGGCAATAAATCACCCTCCTAACCTTAGTTTATCTTCTTTAGTGGTGCAAAATTCTTTATTTGCTTTTGCGGCAATAAACCACCCCCTGCGTTTCAACCCAGCCACAAACTAGAGGGCCACATTTTGGCCTAGCTTCTCCTATCAAATATGGTTAGTTTATGGTTTAATGTCAGATGAATCCAGAAAACTGCTTAATAAGTTAACCCTGGATCAACATTTGTGCAAACAGAACTACAAAGATAAATGTATCCATGTTGATCATTGAAACTGGTTATTTTCCATGAGAAAGTTGGTAAATTCAGCGGAAAAACACTAAGCCTCAAGGAATATTTTCATTTGCAGACCCCTGAAGACTGTTTATCTTTAGGGACAACTCACACGGCCCCTTAATTCTTCCTTATTAGTCAAGGAAGCATGATTAAGATAAATCATGACTTACAACAGCTATGTTTGCATACTGTATCTACTTGTGGTCAACTGAACCAAAATTTGCCAAATTATCTCAACTTATTCTGCAGAAATGCTGAATCATCCACCCTGTAAGTTTCAGGGTTGGATTAAACTAGACTAAAACTAAAAGAATAGGAATAGGAATAGAAATAGAATAGAATAGAATAGAATAAGGAACAAAACAGGAACAGAACAGGAACAGTAGAGTAGAGTAGAGTAGAATCTTGAAGGGACCTTGGAGGTCTTCTAGTCCAGCCCCCTGCTCGAGCAGGAGAACCTATATCATTTCAGACAAGTGACTGTCCAGTCTCTTCTTAAAAACCTCCAGGGATGGAACGATTTCTGGTGGCAAACTGTTCCACTGGTTAATTGTCCTTATTGTTAGGAAGTGTCTCCTTAATTCCAGGTTGCTTCTCTCTTTGGTCAGTTTCCAACCAATGTTTCTTGTCCTGCCTTTGGAGTGCTTTGGAGAATAGTTTGACCCTCTTCTTTGTGTCAGCCCCTCAAATACTGGAATACTGCTATCATGTCGCCCGTGTTTCTTCTTTTCTTTAGACCAGCAACCCAGTCTTCTTCATATCTTGGTCTCCAGGCCTTCCATCATTTTAATTGCTCTTCCCTGACCTTTTTGTAAAGTCTCAATATCTTTTTTGTAGCACAGTGACCAAAACTGGTTGCAGCATATTACCAGGTGTGGTCTTACTAGAGTTTTTTTTATAAAGCGCTACTAGTACTTCCTGTGATCTTGATTCTATGCCTCTGTTTATACAACCCAGGACTGTATTTGCTTTTTTGACTGCTGCTGCTGCTGCACACTGCTGCCTCATTAGACTAAAACTTAGCTGATACCTTTGCGGCTCAATTGCACCAACGGTCTCCAGGATCGCAACCTCCAAGCCTTCCTTGGAAATCCGCAAAAGTCCGGATTTCCTTCTGCAGCGTTTCCACCAAACTAATTCTCTTCCGCTAAGGTTGCGCCCGGGGTATTTTTGGCCGGGCAGCCTTGCAACGTTCAGGAAGCATATTTTCACAAGCAAAACCGCTTTTCTTTCTTTTTTTTTCTCCTTTTTCTTTTAAATGACTGGCTCGTTGGGAGGGGGTCGCTTTGGGGGGGAAAGGAGCAGCTCTCCCACCGTCTGTTCCTCCTCCCGCTTGCGCACACCCACTCACCGGACCCAAGACACGCGTCACCCTTGCTCGGGGAGCACTCTGGGAGAAGTAGTTTCCTCCCTCCCCTCTTCTGCAACGGCGGCCCCGGGGAACTACAAGCCCCATCGGGCAGCGCTCCACGGCTGGCGCAATCCCCACGGCCAGCTGCTGCGAGGGCCGGCCGGCTGGGCGGCTCCCGACTCGGAGTCCGGCAGGCGTGGGGGAGACCAATGGGCTTTCCCAGAGCCGGCTTCGTTGCAAAGGCAGCCGAGGCCGGCCGCTCATTGGAGAGCTCGGTGGGGCGCTGCCTCTGCCCTCCCCTCCCCTCCTTTTTCTCTTTTTTGCAAGCGGAGGGGCCGTTCCGACGCGCGTTCACTCGCTCGCTTTTTTTGCAAACGGGCGATCTCCTCTGCTTCTCGCAGGGCGCTGGTGCGGGTGAGATGCGGGGCTGGGGGCGCCTTTTGCAGCGCTGGCGGGGTCGGGTCCTTTCTCCTTTCTTCTCCCCACCCTCCTCGGTTTAAACCTCTCCGCTAAAGGAGAATCTTTGCAGCTCAGGGTCGAACTAGCAACGGCAAGTAGAGACTTATAGACCGCTTTACAGGCCCGTCTCTAAGCGGTTTACAGAGTCAGCCTTTTGCCCCCCCCCCAACCACCAGGCTCCTCGTTTTACCATCCTCGGAAGGATGGCAGCTGGAGTCAACCTGGAGCCTCCCTGGGATCCTTCTCTGCTTGGCTGATTTCTGGCGGACGTTTCAGGACCCAGCTAGGTAACAGCATCAGGGCAGGGTCGTAATCATCTCCTCCCTTTTTTTGTCTCCTTCTCCAAAGGCGCCATGCACCGCTTGTCGGGGCTGAGCAGGGAAGCCGTCGCCGTCGCCCCGCTTCGCCTCCCCGAGCGCCGAGCCGAGGCCGTGCGCTTCCTGGCCCGGTTGGCCACCGGCAAAGAGCCGCGCGGCGTCGCCCAGCCGCCGATGGGGACGGAGCGGGCTGCCCGGCCGGGGCTGGCCGGCTGGAGCAGCGCCGCCGCCGAAGCCCCCGCGCTACACCTGAAGGAGAAGGCGCCTCGCGAGAAGATCCTCACGTTGGAATCCATGAACCCGCAGGTCAAGGCGGTGGAGTACGCCGTGCGGGGGCCCATCGTCCTGAAAGCGGGCGAGATCGAGAAAGAACTGCGGAAGGTAGAAGTTGCGGGCGAGTGGGTGGGAGGCACCCCTATATTGGGTTGGGAGGCACTCCTATATTGGGTTGGGCTCGAATTTGGGAGGCTGGGGGCTCCTGACGAGGTTTCCATTGGGAGAGACGTGTTGTTGGTCGTTTGCACGTCGCGCTGACCCGGGTTGCTGGAACGAACCCCCAGCCCGCCCGCGTTCACACGACCGCAGCTTGCAAAAGCGCGCAGTAGCCGAGCGCCTCTGCCCTTTGAGCGCAGTTGGATACTTGGAAACTGCCTTTCCCCGTCCGGAGGCGGCTGGACTCCGATCCCCCCTACTGCCCGGTGGGCGACCCCCGCAGGACCCCGACTTGGAGCTCTCCAGATGTCCACCGCCTGGGAGAAAGAGGCCGAGTGTCATCCTGGCCAACGCCCCTTGAGCCACTCCTCCGCCGCCGCGGCTCTTGATTGGGGCAGGCGAGGCTGGCCGGCTGGAGAAGCAACCAGCATGCGGCGAAGAATCGGGGGGAGGCAAGCCGGGGGACGCGCTAGTCTCGCCGGCTAGGCTCCAGCAGACCCGGGGACCGGGGAGCGAGTGGCTCAAGCGGTTCTCCCCGGGCCCCGCCTGCTCCTGTCCTGCTGGGGACTAAGCCCCCCTCCGCCTTGGGTCCCAAAAACTTGGAAAGAGCCCACTGCTGCTTTCCTTGCATGGATTAAGGGAGGGGGGACCCTACTCTCTGTGGCTTCCAGTCTGGTGGCCTGTACTTAGAGCAGGAGGTCTCCAAAGGTGGCAACTTTTAAGACTTGTGGATTTCAACTCCCAGAATTCCCCAGCCAGCACGGCAAAGGAATTCTGGAAATTGAAGTCCGTTAAGTCCGAAAAGTGACCAAGTTTGGAGACCCTTGACTTGAAGGGTTAAGCAGAGGAGTCCTTCTGCAGCTGTTGTCCTGTAGCAAACTTGGACCCATCCCTCCCAGAATCACCTTAGGGCAGGGGCCTTCAAACTTGGCCCTTTTATGACTTGTGGACTTCAACTCCCAGAATTCCACAGCCAGTAGGGGGGCCTTCAAACTTGGCCCTTTTATGACTTGTGGACTTCAACTCCCAGAATTCCACAGCCGGCTGAGGAATTCTGGGAGTTAAAGTCCACAAATCATAAAAGGGTCAAGTTTGAAGACCCCCTGCCTTAGGGATTCCAGATCTTAGGCAAGGAATCTGCTAGTGAGCTTCATCTGTAACCGAGAACAGGTATCATCCTGGACTCACTATCATTCATTTAGTGACGGTTCAAACTTAGCAAGGCCACTGAAAAAGGTAACCTGTAACTTGTGTTTCTCGCATTTACGACCCTTGCAGCATCCCATGATGCAATCAAAAGTCAGATGCTTGACAACTGACTTGTATTTTTGACGGTTGCAGTGTCCCGGACTCTTGTGATGTTCTGACAAATAAAGTCAATGGGGAAGTCAGATTACTTAACAGCCGCATTACTAACTTAACTAATAATAATAATAAAGTTGGAAGGGACCTTGGAGGTCATCTAGTCCAAGCCCCTGCTCAGGCAGGAAACCCTATACCATTTTGGACAAATGGCTGTCCACTCTCTTCTTAAAAACTTCCAGTGTTGGAGCATTCACCGCTTCTGGAGGCAGGTTGTTCCACAGGTTAATTGTTCTGTCAGGAAGTTTCTCCTTAGTTCTAGGTTGCTTCTCTCCTTGATGAGTTTCCATCCGTTGCTTCTTGTCCTGCCTTCAGGTGCTTTGGAGAATAGCTTGACTCCCTCTTCTTTGGGGCAGCCCCTGAGATATTGGAACACTGCTATCATGTCCCCCGCTTGTCCTTCTCTTCATTAAACTTGACATACCCAATTCCAGCAGCTGTTCCTTATATGTTTTAGCCTCCAGTCCCCTAATCATCTTTGTTGCTCTTTTCTGCACTCTTTCCAGAATAGTTAATAAAGTTGGAAGAGACCTTGGAGGTCATCTAGTCCAACCCCCTGCTCAGGCAGGAACCCCTATACCATTTCGGACAAATGGCTGTCCATTCTCTTCTTAAAAACTTCCAGTGTTGGGGCATTCACCATTTCTGGAGGCAGGTTGTTCCAGTGGTTAATTGTTCTAACTGTCAGGAAGTTTCTCCTTAGTTCTAGGTTGCTTCTCTCCTTGATGAGTTTCCATCCGTTGCTTCTTGTTCTGCCTTCAGGCGCTTTGGAGAATAGCTTGACTCCCTCTTCTTTGGGGCAGCCCCTGAGATATTGGAACACTGCTATCATGTCCCCCTCGTCCTTCTTTTTGTTAAACTAGAAATACCCAATTCCAGCAACCGTTCCTTATATGCTTTAGCCTCCAGTCCCCTGATCATCTTTGCTGCTCTTCTCTGTACTCTTTCTAGAGTCAATGATTTACTTCAATGACTTACCTATCAATTGTGGCCAGAAACGGGGCAAAAGTCACTTAACTGTCATGGTTAGCAATGGCCCAGTTCTGCTAGTAAGTCGAAAACTACCTGTGCCTTGTTTTTCTTTTGTGTCAGAATTTGCTGCTTGGTTGGTCAAGTAAGCAAGGAGCTCTGGCTTGCCCCCTTTAATTTTCAGGCATTATTTTAGGGGGGATAGCCAGGATGCCCTGTTTTGCTCTGGAAATGTTTTTTGAATTGGAACTTGATGGTAGAGTAGAAAAGAAGAAGAGGCATTAGTCAATGGAAAGAGGCAGTGAACTCAAATAAATTTTTCCAGCCATGTAATAGAGTGTTTTTTTTTTTCCAGTTTGTTGCCCTGTAATATTTCTGCTAGGCAATTACGCAGGACTCGTTCCTTGAGAACAAACAGCTGGGGAAAAGCAAACAGCCACCTCCCGTTTTCTTTTATCAGATACTTGCATAAGAATGTAGTTGCTATTTCGCAGGATATTTGCTTTTCCTTCTGATGCAATCCGAGGTTCCTCAGCCTTATGTAACAATCGATAACTTACTTCATACTTTAGATCAGTGATGGCGAACCTTTTAGAGACCGAGTGCCCAAACTGCAACCCAAGACCCACTTATGCATCGTCAGGTGCCAGGTGGGTGTGGCCCATTGGGTAGGCGTGGCTGCCGTGGTAACAGCAGACTAGGTGGGACTAAAAGGTTCAATCAATCAATTCCAACTTTGCAAGATTTTTTTTTCCCCGTGAGAAGTTGAAATTGACTGATTGAACCTTTTTTTTTTTTTGCACACGGCGGCGGAGGCCTAAAGCGAAAAGGTTTTATAAAACCCAGCTGAAGGCCTAGGACTGGAGTGATGGTGCGTGTGCCCACAGAGTGGGCTCTGAGTGCCACCTCTGGCACCCGTGCCATAGGTTCGCCACCACTGCTTTAGATCTTGTTTCAGTAAAAAGTTAAACCTGGCGAGGAGGGGGGGCACTTCTTCCCACCTGTGGCTTTCGCCTTTAAGTGTTTTTTTGGCTTGGCTGTGTTAATGGGAGATGGTTTTAAAAGGTTGTGTGTGTGTGTGTGTGGTTTTTTTTTTTTTTAGAAATAATTACTTTTTCTCAACCCTGGTTGAAGGTGCTGGTTGTAACCTTTAAAAGCACCTTTCAAGTCAGATACCTTACGATTCCCCGAGAACCTTGGAACCCACCTGTAGCTTTTTAAGCCATTCATAGGAGTTTATTTACAATCTTTTATCTTTCTAGAAGGTTGGCCAGATAGTCTGGTACCCTGCAGATAATACTGGAAGTCAGTTTCCGTAAGACAGTGGCCATCTACACGTCTGCAGGGCACCAAGTGGAAAAAATAATAAACCAGCATTAGTCTCCACGTTTGAAGACCCCCCTGGCTTAGAGAGAGCTGTAAAGCCTCTTATATATGCAAGCGGTATATAAGAGCAATTGCTATGACTATGTCAAAAATGTCATAAAACCAGTCATGACCCACTGAATGACTGCATAACTTAGCAACAGAGGATCCGGTCCCAATTGTGGTTGTAAGTTATGGACTATCTGTAAATGCCTCGGGAACTGCACTTAGTTCGGTTCATTTCCTATGCTTGCCACTCTGCTGTTGCCTACTCTCCAAATACGTATCACCTGAGCTAGTGATTGCCCCACTCTCCTTGTTAGTTAACAAGACCCTGACCCCTTCACCTTGGCTCATGGGCTTTCCACGTTTGAAGGACTTGTGCATACAGATAAAGGAGTGTTCAGCCATGTGAATTCCCAGCTGCTCGGTTTTAAGACTCCTGATTATTGGCCCAACACTCTTTGAGAGAGAGTTGACTTGAATTCTCTTGAGTTGACTTAGGGCTTCGGTCTTGTGATGCTGCCTTAATGTTTATGCGCCCGGAAGATTAACTTGGCTGAGCGTTTTGTTCTAAACGGGATTGCCTAATCCAGGATTCTTAAGATTGATCAGCAATCCTTCTGAAGCCTTAGAACTGTTCCCTCGGCAGTCTTTCAGTGCATGGATTATTTCTGAAAGGTAGTCTGTTGCTATTTATTAACCATAGTCATCCCAAGGGATTTCGGCCTCGCTGTCAGTTGGATTTGCGCACCAGGCTAAGCCAAACATACCCCTGGGTGGCTTGGTCTTCATTGTGCTAGAGGAACCCAACCGTTGTGGTTTTCAAAACCATGGTTTATGATTTAATCTGATACACAAGCCTAGATCATTGTCAGTTATTTCATAAAGGCCAAACGTGATGTGTGCAGGCAGCCAAGGATCTTATGCCTTGAATAAATATATAAATATTTTCTCCCCCCAGTTTATCTGTGCATGTTGGGAAAAGTCCAGGGTAAATTACAAAGAGGTTCCCCCTTTGTGAAATTCATCTGGCAGAATAGAATTACCAGTACAGTTAGTCCTCGATTTACAACGGTTTCTTGACTGAAGTTACAGCGGCACTGACAAAAGTGACTTATGACCATTTTTCACATTTAAGACCGTTGCAGCGTCCCCAAGGTCACGTGATCAAAATTGGGATGCTTGGCAACTGACTCGTATTTATGACGGTTGCTGCGTCCTGGGGTCACGTGATCCCCTTTTGCGACCTTCTGTCAAGCAAAGTCAATGGGGAAGCCAGAGTCACTTAACAACCGGGTTACTAATTTAAGAACTGCAGGGACTCACTTAACAATGTGGCTAGGAAAGTCGTAAAATGGGGCAACCTAAGTTTTGGGCTCATTTGTGGTCGAGGACTACCCATAGTCTCTGTTGCTGTCCCTCTCTTAGAGCATCTACACTCTCAGAATTGTCCGTCAGTGTAAAATGAGACTGAAATATCCCAAACTAGCAATTAATGTATTTACAAGAACCTGGAAAAGTACAAACATGAAAAACAAGTTCCAGCAAGAAAATCTTGCTCTTGTTTCTTGCTCTGCTGGTCAGATTCTCCTTTTGGTGAATCTTAACATTTTGTGTCAAAGATTTTTGTGTGCGTTTCAGCATTTGGAAGTTACAGTTGACACTGGACCCATGGCCTGTAGCTGCCTATAGGACTGTAGTCAATTCTAGCAGGGGATAGTGTTGTTGTCCAGAAGCTGGTTGTTTTCCAAATCTTGTAACAGAACTAAGCTTTCATGGAGAGCAATCCACTTACAGTTTTTGCTCGGTGAAGTCCTTGGGACTTGCAGACGTTTTATTACCTAACTAGGTAACATCATCAATGCTAGAAGGGAGTGAGATTTGATCTCTTTTGGCTTCCTGGATACCATAAGGCTCTTAATGATTAACAAGTGTTTTATGTGGCTGCTCTTCAGCAGAAAAGCATATTTGCTTTCATCTATATTTATATCTATATTATCTATATCTATCTATAGGTGTGCGTGTGTGTGTAGATAGATACAGATATAGATATAGATATAGGGATGGATGGATAGATAGATGATAGATAGATAGATAGATAGATAGATAGATAGATAGATAGATAGATAGATAGATAGATACATAGATAAACAGCAACTTGCCATCTCTGATGATATTTCTAACTTCATGGTTTCTACTGACATGAATTCAGTGCAAATGAACCAGAAGATTCTGCAGATATCTGAGGGTCATTTATGATCTAACTTTTGGCTGTTCAACCTTCCCTCATTGTGACTTCACGTTGAATTAGGCACATGCCTTATGAATGCAAACAGCAGCCCACAAGACAAACAGACCTTGTTAACATCTGCAGAGTGATAACAGGAGATTCGGGTGTCAATTGTTGGCAAGCTTTCTTGGAACAATTCCCACATGAGCTCTCAGAAGGATTTTTTTTCCTCAGTTGATCTCTATAGCAGGGGTCTGCAACCTTGACAACTTTAAGACTTGTGGACTTTTTGGAATTTTAGGTAAAATGCGGAATGTGCTTTGTACTAGGGCAGGACAACAAACAGTGGTTGGAAACGAATCAAAGAGAGAAGCAACCTGGAATTAAGGAGAAACTTCCTAACAATAAGGACAATTAATCAGTGGAACAGCTTACCACCAGAAATGTGGGCGCTCCATCACTGGAGGTTTTTAAGAAGAGACTGGACAGTCACCTGTCTGAGATGGTATAGGTCCTCCTGCTTGAGCAGGAGGCTGGACTAGAAGACCTCCAAGGTCCCTTCCAACTCTATTCTATTCTATTTTTTTTTTTTAGGCAAGATCTACCTTTTTTTTTCTTGACTGAACTCATGTAACCTCCAGAATCGATAGTGAGATGGACAACGTATACTGTACATTTAATCAATCCATTTTTTTTTAAACTGTAGCTTTTTAGCAGCGGGTGCTTAAGTGGAAATACCAGAATGAAACAGCAGAAAATTTGTGGTCTAGGCTTTGGCTGCTAGAGATGGGAAGATGTTCAACTTTTCACTTGCCTTTCACCCAGGACCCCCACAAGGATTGGCAGCTGTATTGCACAGAGTTTGTTGTTCTTTGCAAAAAGAGACTTCCTAAATGAAATTAGCTCTCCAAATTGTGCTTAACTTCACATTCCATTTTTTGGATGGCGTTTAGATTCTCATTCCTGCTGTTCTTATGATGTTGGAGAAGAAGACAAGTTATGTTCTTTGCCAGAACTTCGTTAGATTTTTTTTGGGGGGGCACACACATTTAGGATCTTCAGCCTTTGCTTTAAACTATAACTATGCATCCTTCGATGTTTTTCTTCAGAGGAGAAAAAAACATTTTCCTAATTCCAGCCTTTGTACTTCTTAATGGGAGACCGAGATCCAGCTCAGCTTTTGGATCATAAATAGCTTTGAACACCCCGATGGAAAACTGTAAAAACATCTCCCACCCTCTTTTAGATATTGCTGTTTTGCAAAATGTGCCTGCTATTTTTTTTTTTTAAAAAAAAAAACAAGTGCTAACATCAAAGAATGCTTGATTGCAGATGATTGTTGTCAGCCAGGTGTTCCCTTATTTGATTTTGGTGGGTGCGATTTTGTGCAGCACGACGATCTCAGCGTACACCTACCTCAATGTGTATTTTGTATCATGTAAACTGAGCCTCAATAATGCCATGTGTAGTGCAGTGTTAGAACAAAAACATACATCCTTGAAAACACTCCTTTATTCCTTTTATAAATAAAAAATGCTGCACGGCCTTCCATGTTTCACCTTCCGGATTAAATATCTACTTTGATTGGCTCCAATTATCTCTGCAATATATTCTTGTATTTGTTCAAGAAAGAAGCATCTTTCAAGTTCAGCCTGAGTGGAAAGAATGAAGTCCTTTGGTATCAAAGTTAGGACTTGCTCGGGAATCAAAAATGTCCAGCATTATTGAGGCTGAATTGATGGAGTTTGAATAAGCATCATGGTGTGTCTCATTTGTTGGCTTCTGTAGGATAGCTTCATGTTTGGCTAAACCCATCAGGGAAACTTGCTGTGGTTTTCTTAGTGTTACATCCAAACCAGAAGTTCTTTATTTATCCTCTGAACCAGAATTCGACCCGAGGTTTTGCTTCAGAATTCTGACTTATAGCAATAGCATCCAAGTTAAAAAAAATAAAGTTTGCAGACTAAAAACGAGATGTGTTTCTCTCTTTTCCTGCTCTAGGTTGCTTGCGATCATACCAGTTAAGTTATTCATTTACATAATCTGGTATTGATGTTCAGTCTTCACTCCAGTTTCTAAGATTGCCACCCCCATGACTTGGTTGAAATGTCATGTTGGTTTGCTTTGTTTGGATAAGCCTCCAAATACAGGAATGTATGTTAGAATTTGCATCACCTCGTTTTGAAGGGCTTCCTCAAATGATCATTTGCTGTATGGGATGAAACTAGAGATTGCTACAAATAAAGAGTTAATTGGGCCTTTATTATAAGGAGAACGTAGGAAGAGAGAGGAACAAGAAAAGCAGCAGTTGGCAGGGGAAATAGGGAGTGGAATATAAATAGGTAATAAACAAATTTGTGGTATTTGTAAAAAAGTTCATCCTCTTTCGGTAAATTTTACTGATGTAAAAAGAAATCATTTATATCCTATAATAACCATCCAGATATGAAGTTGTTACTGCAGGGAACTTGTTCTTAATTAAGAGAGAGAATGGTGCCTTATATTTTTATAAGGTATTACTCCAGCAGCAGAAGAACCAGTAAACAAGTTTGTCAACTCAAGCTTTAGGATTTTGAGGTGGCATCAGTGAGATTTTAAAGCACATTTACGCTCCAAATAAACCTAGACGTTATGCCATTTCTCATCATGGAAAGCTGGTTCCACCATATTGCATAAAAACACGTAATCTTCAATTGCATGGACTGTCTTGATTTTAGCAGCCATATACTGTTGAATAATATCTCCTGCCGTAGTAAGAAAAACCCAGCACAATCATATCCTGTTCTAGTTTTCTGAACATCAGCTGATTGACTGCTGTCAGAAGCTGAGCTAAATGGACTTCTGGACTTAAGACCAATACGCCACCTGGTTTATCCAACCAGTATATTATTAAACCAAGCATGGAAGGGGAAAAGGATGCACAAGGTTCATAAACGTGATGTTCAGTGTTCCCATGACTTGCCTACGGCCTCTTATGTCATCAGTGGTCCTTTTCAATACATTTTGTAAGATGACAAAGCATGAACAAAGAACTTTATACCTCCTACACTGAGACTGGCTTTTATTAAGAAAAAAACAGCAATGCCACTACTTTAAAAGCTGATTGACCTTATCTGGTTTTAAAGACACAGATATGGGCTGGTCCATACACGGAAGCTATTTCATACAGGGGCAGGAAATCCTGTATAACAATTTCAGCTCTTGTGACTTTTTAATAAAGTCATAATCATCCAGGGATATTGAAAATAGCTTTAGGAATGGAGGAGAATATGTGATGTGCAAGCACCATGTTACTAATACCTGAGGAATGATCCACAAACATTTGAAGTCAGCATAGCTGGCTGAAGAATTCTGGGAGTTGAAGTCCACAAGTCATAAAAGGGCCAAGTTTGAAGACCCCTGTTTTAAGTGGTCTGCATAAAAGAGAGGGTTGGAATGGCTGGTCAGTTTTGGTGTCTTCCTAGTTGCGTTGGGTTCTACAAAGCTTGGATTTGCTGCCTAACAGGTTTGCTTTTTCTCCCTTCAGGGCATCAAAAAACCTTTCACAGAAGTCATCAAGGCCAACATTGGTGATGCTCACGCCATGGGACAGCAGCCCATCACCTTCCTTCGACAGGTAGGAGGACACGGCTGGAGGAAGACCAGAAGCTCCTTGAGGAAAGGCAGCCAAAGCCATAAGGCAGAGGTCCCCAACCACCTGGGCCGCGGCAGAGGCTGTTTGTGCTCACGTGCCAAGCTCCATTTGCACAAACGGAGCTTCATGCACAAGCACTTGCCACTTGCGCGAGGGGAGCTTGGCATGTGAGCACAAGTTGCCTTTCGCTTGCGCTAGTGGAGCTTCACGCACCACTTGCGCGCACAGCTCCACTAGCGCAACTGGAGGGCGTGTGCAACCACTGCTCATGGCAATGAAGCTATGTGCGCCAATGAAGCTATGCGCGCCAACCACTGCTCACGCCAATGAAGCTATCACACACACACACACACACACACACACACACACACACACACACACACAGAGTGCCGGGCTGCCAAGGTGGAAAGGTTGGGGACCATTGCCCTAAGGAATGGGGTCTGCTATTATGCCAAAGTGGACAACTAAATACTGTTTCTCCAGATTGGAAACTAAAGCAAGGAGGGGGAAAAAAATAATCAAGCTGCTAACATGGATTTTTATTTAACAAACCAGTACGGATAACGTCGAGAATAGCAAGCACTTCTGGGATGTTGTGTGTGTGTGTATCAGAAACGCACCGGCGGGTGTCACAGAGCTAACCTGAGCAAACTGGAGCAAAAGTATGGTTGCCAAGTAGTTGAGAAACAAGCACCATGGCATGGTACCTTGGAAATAATAATATTATTGACAATAATGCTACAAGTAGTTCTTGACTGACGGCCACAATAGACTCCAAAATTTCCCCATTATTAAAAACAAAGCAGCATTAAGTGAGTTTTGCCGCATTTTACACAGTTCTTCAGTGATTCACTGCCGGTATTAACCGAATCATGCGATCATTAAGTCAGTCTGGCGTTCCCCCATTGGCTTTGCTTGTCCAAAGCTGGCTGGGATGATTATTCACCCGACCCTAGGACAGTGCAACTGTCTTAAGTACGTGCCAATTGCCAAGCACCTGAATTTTGATCACCTGATCATGAGGATGCTGCAGCAGTCATAAGTGGGAAAAAAACGATCTTTTTAAGTCCCCCTTTTTTTCAGTGCCATTGTAACTAAATAAATAGCTGTGCACTGAGGACTTAGAGTGAGATTGGAATCCTTTTATAGGTCGCTCTGAATGGCTGGGTTTAAAGTTGCGTCCTGTGGAATTCATCTCTTTCTCTATGTTTTCTGGGCAATGTAGGTGGTGGCGCTTTGTACTTACCCCAACCTGCTGGACAGCCCCAGTTTCCCAGAAGATTCCAAGAAGAGGGCAAGACGGATCTTGCAAGGCTGTGGAGGCAACAGCTTAGGTACTTCAATCATTTTTTTCACATTAGATCTGGCCCTCTCCTGTTAGTGGTCATTCCTTGGATTAGATGCAGCCTGAAAAAAAACCCAGATTTTTTTTAATTGATAGTTTTCCAATAGTGATCTTTTGTTTTCTTCCAATTTCCTGCCATACTTTACCTTCTTTTCCATTTCTTTTCACGTTGCAGTTGTTTCATTTCTTATTGCTTGCTACACAATAAAACCAGTTTGGATACGATCACTTAGCTAGATAAGTTGCACGCCGGGTCTGAGGGAATTCTGGGAGCGGAAGTCTCCACATCTTACATTTGCCAAGGTTGAGAAACATAGAGTGGTGTGTTATGCTCATCGTCATCAACATCAGTTCAAGATGTTCCCGGGTCATTGTGTCTAGGAAAGAGTTTAAACTGGAATAAATTATTGAGGTACGGTCAGAAATATGTAGCAATTTTCCAGGGGAAATGTCTCACAGTTTTAACATTTGAAACAAATGAAACACACCTTTCCCATCTCAAATTGGAATTCAAAATGCTAGCAGAGTTGAATGACGGTAGCAACAAGGCCAGTCTATCTGAGTCTCTTTTTCTTTCTGGTCGTTTACCCACTTCCTTAGGTCCACACATATTTTTCTAAGTTTCCGTAGTAACATTTAAACTCTAAAACTAGTTCAACTTGATGTATAAGGAAGCATAATTGGGCAACACTGACACAAGACAATCCTCGTGTGTATATGCTAAGGTATATGGCGTCGTCATGTCCTCTCTTTTTTTATTCTTTGCCTGCAAGGTTGAACCTCCCTGGGATTATTGGAGATGCTTTGACTCCATCTTGTCATTGGTCACTCTGATATCAACAAAAAACACTTGATATAAAATAAGGACATCATTGATCCTTGAGTCACTATGGCAGGGCCATAATCTCTCTGTAGTCTTGAGGGTTAAAAAAAAACCCATTCCAAATATATTCCAAAATTCCGAGATCCGGACAGCATCAGCAGAGTGCATAGCAAAGTTGAAATGCTCACAAATGGAATATCTCTGTGGCTCTGGTAGTCAATTCAAGTCCAGTAAGTTTATTGCAGTCAAAGACCAGAGACCAGAACAAGTTAAAACACTCAAGGAATATCCAGTTAAAAATTCTAGAATAAAATAATAAATAACAGCTCTGGTTAAAGAAAAAAAAAAGCACTTTACAAGATATAGCTGAAATATAAATCTGAACTTCAGCTTTCTCCAAATTGTTACTCAAAGCTGTGTGTCTTGGGTATATTTTTATTCTGCTTGTGCTCTCACTAAGAATGTGTGGGAGAACTGTGACTGTGGGGGATTCTTAGCGCTGTCTGAACTGGGGTTTTTTCTTGCAGATGTTTCATTACCAAACTAGGTAACGTCATCAGTGCTCATGATGAGCAACGTTTGTGCATTGAGCCTCAACTTGAAGTGACAAATGTACTGCTTGATCTGTTTTGGTTTCAAAGTGGAGATGGAAGAGGGTGGGGGAAATCTACTTCAGATTTAATCTTTATTCTCTCTGAATATGTTAATTAATCAAAGGGTTTATTTCAGTGATGGCGAACCTTTTAGAGACCGAGTGCCCAAACTGCAAACCAAAACCCACTTATGCATCATCGGGTGCTGGGTGGGTGTGGCCCCTTGGGTGGGCGTGGCTACGGTGGTAACAGAAGAGTGGGTGGGACTAAAAAGTTCAATCAATCAATTTCAACTTTGCAAGATTTTTTTTCCGTGAGAAGTTGAAATTGACTGATTGATTGAACCTTTTTTTTTTGAACGCGATGGCAGAGGCCTAAAGCAAAAAGGTTTTATAAAACCCAGCTGAAGGCCTACGACTGGAGCGATGGCGCGCGTGCCCACAGAGAGGGCTCTGAGTGCCACTTCTGGCACCCGTGCCATAGGTTCGCCACCACTGGTTTATTTGATGGGCATAAGTGACCGATCGAGGGTTAGGAACAATAAAGGAAACATCTTAGAAGAATCCCAACTTGTCTTTTGTGGGTTTTGGAGGCTGACATTTTCCTTCCTTGCATAGGTTCGTACAGCGCCAGCCAAGGAATCAATTGCATTCGTGAAGATGTCGCGGCATACATTGAGCGGCGAGATGGTGGCGTCCCTGCAGATCCAGAGAACATCTATTTGACCACAGGAGCAAGCGATGGCATTGCTGTAGGTGGCATTGGGGTTATCTTCTATTTATATACATATATTTTAATTAATTTTTTTATAATCAGAAGTGCTTAATATTTTATCAGCAACACATTGTCAACTTACTAATACATGTTAAATTCCTTTCTCTCTACCTCATTTTTCTAACCATTGATAAAAAGTATCCCATGCTCTAAAGCAGGGGTCCCCAACGTGGGCCACTTTATGACTTGTGGACTTCAACTCCCAGAATTCCTCAACCAGCCATAACCAGAGTTATCTTTCTTCAATCTTCCAGACCATTCTCAAGATCCTCGTCTCGGGAGGTGGGAGATCCCGAACTGGAGTGATGATCCCAATTCCTCAATATCCTTTATATTCAGCTGCCATTTCCGAATTGGATGCCATCCAGGTGAACTATTACCTGGACGAAGAGAACTGCTGGGCCCTAGATGCGAACGAATTACGCCGCTCCTTATATGAAGCCAAAGCGTATTGTAACCCCAAGGTTCTTTGCATCATTAATCCTGGAAACCCCACAGGTGTGCAAAACCTCTACAGGTCTGCTCTTCACACTTTTCTGTGTCCTTTCTCTACGGCCTGGTTGTAGTAAATCATGATGTCTTTGTACAGGCAACCCTCTAGTTGCAACCATTATTCAGCCACCAGTGAAAGTCACAACAGTGCTGAACAAACAGTGGTTATGGCCGGTCCTCAGAGTGCCAGTCATCTCAGCGTCTCTGCAGTCATGTGATTGTGCGCAGCTGGCTCACACTTACAACTGGTTGCAGTGATAGTATGATTGATGTTTTCAACTTTTCCTGCCGGCTTCCCCAGAAAGTCAATGGGGAAGCTGGCAGGAAAGGTCAGAAGTCACTGGGATGTCTATGGAGATTCTCAGTCATCCAGGTCATGGTTGTCCCAAAGGTGCTTTTTTAAGAGGCAACTGGAGTTTTGGGGTTTTTTCTTTGAAGATGTTTTGCTTCTCATCCAAGGAGCTGAAGGAGCTTCTGGGATGAGAAGCGAAACTTCAAAGAAAAAAACCCCAAAACTTCAGTTGCCTCTTGAAAAAAGTCACTGGTAAGTTTCCCCCACCTATGCACCTTCTCCCAGCTGCTCTGCACATAATAGCAATAATAAAGTTGGAAGAGACCTTGGAGGTCTTCTAGTCCAACCCCCTGCTCAGGCAGGAAACCCTACTCCATTTCAAACAAATGGTTGTCCAGTCTCTTCTTAAAAACTTCCAGTGTTGGAGCATTCACAGCTTCTGGAGGCAACTATTCCACTGATAATTGTTCTCACTGGCAGGAAATTTCTCCTTAGTTCTGGGTTGGTTCTCTCCTTGAACGGTTTCCATCCGTTGCTTCTTGTCCTGCCTTCAGGTGCTTTGGAGAATAGTTTGACTCTTATTTCTGGCAACTTGTGCTGGCCATTTGCATGCCACTCAAACCTTCCTGGAGCTTCGCCACACCTCCTGTGCATCCTTCCCAACCCTCGCCATGCTTCACTTGAGCACCTCCTTGCACCCTCCCCATGCTCCTCTTGCTGTGCATCCCTCACAGCCTTGTGCACCCTTCACACCCTCCCTGACCCTCACACCTAACGCTGAGACAGTTGTTCTTTTGTTTTGGAATGACGAAATTATTGACGTATCCAGTGGTGGGATTCAAATATGGGAACAACCGGTTCTCTGTGTGGATGTCACTTCCGGAAGTCCATTCTGGGCCTGGGCAACAAAAAATTAGCTACCGGTTTTGCCGAAGTGGTGCAAACTGGCTGAATCCCACCACTGGACGTATCCTCTGTTTCATTGGAAAGGAGAACTGCTTTGAAACTTTTCCCCCCCCTGTTTCTTCCTGAATTGTAGGTCAAGTTCAAAATCGAAAATGTATTGAAGAGGTCATACATTTTGCCTGGGAAGAGAAACTGTTTCTTCTGGCTGACGAGGTAATGAAAATGTTTAGCCTTGGAGGCAACAACGTATCTGGATATTGGAGAGCATGTGTCGCTGTGATGTTCTTGCAAAATGACCAGGAGGATCAGTGAGGCCGATCACAAAACTTCCAGATACGAAAAACACAGATTGATGCATTATTTGTCCTAGAGAAACAGACACCTATTCCTGGGTCCTCCGTAGGTTTCATGGTTTTTCTTAGGAAATTAAAATGAGGTGTTTCAATGCATACTTGCTTATTGACCGAAAACCCAGAGACCCATATGCAACTCAGGATAATATTAGAGTGGGGGACTTCCTTTGGAGCACAGCAGTGTTTTTACTTATATTAAAATGGGGAGGGGGGGGATCAGACAAGAAAACTGCTGGGTGTAAAGAGAGCTTTCCCTAAACACACAAGCTAAGGAGCATCAAAAGCTCTAAAATGTTCGCTGTCATATAACTGAATCCTAAAAAGTAACGTTGCTTTTTGAAAAGAAAGAAGCCTACAGATCAGTGGTTCTCAACCTTTTTAATGCCGCGACCCCCAACCGGTCGTAAGTCGAGGACTACTCAACCAGTCGTAAGCCGAGGACTACTGGTGCAGCACCGTTTGCAGAATGGGACTTTTGGCGGGCTCAGCAGGGCAGAGACAGCCTGGACAATTCCTATTGGCTTTTGAAAGCCAATAGAATTAGACTCTATTCAAAAGAGTATTCTATTGGCTTTCAAAAGCCAATAGAATAAAAGGGAGTAGCACAGCTAAGGAAAAGGGGGGAAAAAATGGCGGACTGCGTTGTTTGGCGACCCTCGTGAAATGGTCGTTCGACCCCAAATGGGGTCCCGACCCACAGGTTGAGAACCATGCTACAGATAGTCCTTAAATTACGACTGGTCGCTTAGTAACTGTTTGAAGTTATTACAGACCCCCCCCGAAAGATACTTACAACCTGGTTCCAAAGGGGGAGGCCTCCCCTGTGGTCATGTGATCACATTTGGACGCTCAGCAACTGACCCATCTTTATGGCTTTAGATGCGTCCCATCATTTACAACGTTTTTGCTGAAAATTGGCATTTATTTGGTGATTTGTAGCAAAAAATGCCCCATAGCGAACAATGGGTTCAGGGTAATGGTGATTCGCTTACCATCTGCTGCAAAGCAAGGTCATAAATTTGGGTGAGTCCTGTGATGAACCACTTTATAACCATCACAACGTACGACTATAACGGATAGGTTACCATTATAGTGATTAAGTTGAGGACTCTCTGCATTTTGTCTTTTTCTGGGGTGCAGGTTTATCAAGACAACGTCTACGCGGAGAACTGCCAGTTCCACTCCTTCAAAAAAATCCTTTATGAAATGGGACCCGATTATTGGAACAATGTTGAACTTGCTTCTTTTCATTCCACTTCCAAGGGCTACATGGGCGAGTAAGTTTCCCAACTGAGTATGGAATTTTTGCTATGCAAAATCCAATTTACTTAAATCCCTTGCTGTGTCTTCTGTGGTCAAACAAAGTCAATACCTCACTTCTTTTGTCATAAAAGGCTTGAACTGCACAGGTGTGGCAGGTTGATTTTTCAAAAAAAAAATTTATTATTGCAAAACAAGTAGTACCTTCTATTATTTGGGTACGGTAGTACTTATTTAGTGTTGATTGGAGGATTATTAATACTCTGACGATTTAGATCACTTAAACCCTAAAGATGAAGGGAAGGAAAGAAACTTTATGTCCGTATTTTTTTTAACTCTCTGCCGCAATGCATAGCCTTAGCTTATATGCTGGCATAATCCACCAAGCAGTTGCCATTTCTTTCTTGCAACAAGAAGATTAAAATAGGATCCTGCATTAGTTGTGGATTTTATAGGTTGCATTTCTGCCATTGCGAGAATTTCGTGCTAAGTTTTCCTCACCAGCACGTTTTTTTCCTCTTTCTCCTTTTCTTCTCTTTTCTGTTCCTGCTGCTTCTGCCTGTTTTTCAGGTGTGGCTACCGAGGAGGCTACATGGAGGTGATAAACCTGCATCCAGAAATTAAAGGGCAGCTAGTTAAGCTCCTCTCTGTTCGTTTGTGTCCACCTGTCTCCGGTCAAGCTGCTATGGATGTTGTCGTGAACCCCCCTGTTCCTGGAGAAGAATCATATGCCCAGTTTATTAAGGTTTGTGCGTGTATTTGACATTCTTTCATCTTTTTTTTTTTTAAATCCTTCTTAAAGCCGCCAGCGGCTCTTGAATCACTGGCAGCCAGAGGAGATGAGAATGAAAATAGGTACTCAAAGAAACACCAAGGCAATGTCACACCTTCAATGTATCCATAAGGATTCATCTGGGATCCATTTTCCAAAGCGGAATTTCCTTTCATTTTTCAAACAACTGTTTAAAAAGAAAGTAGCTATTCTTCCATCCATCCAAACTTCCTCCATCTGCTGCCTTGTCAAATTTGCCTTTGAACTTAACTCTAATCATTTCCATCCAGCATGTGAGGATCCCAGACTGAGAATGTGTACAGTTGTCTGAAGGTGGTGGGCAGTGTTTAGAGACACTGATAACAATGCATCAGGGATAGTTTCTGGATTCACCCTTGAATCGTATATGATTAGATTGGACTGCAAATAATTTATAGCCCTGGCTGGGTTCACGCGGTCTTTCAAGTCAGCTGACAAACCACACAGGAACCCAAATAATATTCAACAGAAACAATGCATAACAAAACTTAAGAACAAGTCAAGTGTATACTGGACAATTTTAATTGCCTATTCTCATCAAGAACTATCACAGTTGGCTGTGCCCACCTCGCTGGAATAATCGTTTATCCTGTGATTTCTTTAGTTAGACTGGGATACAAAGCTTCTCTCATTCTCCAGCCAAGAAAATGCAGATTATGGAACGATGGAAAGTTATCCTTGGTGCTCTCCGAGCTTAGTTGTTTTCTTGCAGACGTTTTCGCTGCCAAACTAGGTAACATCATCAGGGCTAGTTGGCAGTGGAGTCTGCTCTCCTTTTATATAGATGGTGAGTGGATGGTGCTGAGAAACTTAAACAACTGATACTCTACGAAATAAAATAAGAGCTGCAAAATGATGATGATGATGATGATGATATTGGAAGGGACCTTGGAGGTCATCTAGTCCAACCTTCTGCTCTGGCAGGAAACTCTATACCATTGCAGACAAATGGCTGTCCAGTTTCTTCTTAAAAACTTCCAGTGTTGGAGCATTCACCGCTTCTGAAGGCAGGCTGTTCCACTGGTTAATTGTTCTAACTGTCAGGAAGTTTCTCCTTAGTTCTAGGTTGCTTCTCTCCTTGATGAGTTTCCATCCATTGCTTCTTGTCTTGCCTTCAGGCGCTTGGAGAATAGCTTGACTCCCTCTTTGGGGCAGCCCCTGAGATATTGGAACACTGCTATCATGTCCCCCCTCATCCTTCTCTTCATTAATCTAGACCTATCCAATTCCAGCAACCTTTCCTTATATGTTTTAGCCTCCAGTCCCCTGATCATCTTTGTATAGTGCCAGCTGATTTGGGCTGCCCAGTTTAGGTGTCCTTTGTGTAACATTCTTTCCCTCTTCCCGACACAGGAAAAGGAGTCAGTTTTGAACAACCTTGCAATGAAAGCCAAACTAACCGAAGACTTGTTCAATCAAGTGCCAGGGCTCCACTGCAACCCACTTCAAGGAGCCATGTATGCGTTCCCACAAATTTATATCCCTGCCAAGGCTGTTGAAATAGCCAAGGTGAGAATGTCTTGTTTCTCTACAAGAAATGCTGCTGCTATTGAATCAAACTGGAGGTTGTTCGCCTGCTTTGGATAGAACATTTGTGCGCCAAAACAAGCCAGGATTGTTCGGCCACATTTTCTTAATGGAACCAAAACTGCCTGAGTTTGCACATAACCTAGACTTTATATGTTACATTGGCCATTTCGCTAATAAAACTGCATTATGTGGGCGGTACTATCCATGATGAGAATGTGAGCCTAGAGCAGGGGTAGGCAACCTTGGCTCTTTTATGACTTGTGGACTTCAAAACCCAGAATTCCTGAACCAGCCATGCTGACTCAGAAATTCTGGGAGTTGAAGTCCACAAGTCATAAAAGAGCCAAGGTTGCCTACCGCAGGCCTAGAGTATTGGACAAGCTGGTTTATCCGCTAAATATCTTACGTGTTATCAAATTGCACTGCTCTTCCAGTGAATGAAAAGATAGTTATGCTTGCTTCTTGGAGAACGTGCCTTTAAAGCAAGAGGCCTTCAAACTTGGCCCCTTTTATGACTTGTGGACTTCAACTCCCACGCTGGCTGGAGGAATTCTGGGAGTTGAAATCCACAAGTCATAAAAGGGCCAAGTTTGAAGACCCCCTGCTTTAAACAATGGGATAGAAAAAGAATAGATGTGGCATGTTTTATTAGGTTTGGTGGTGGTATCCTTCTCTTTTTACCTCCCGTGGTGCCCAATCATTTAGTACAGACCTCAGGCCCTTATCTGAGTCCATAGTTTCTAGAAATCAGCATCTTTTCCTACACATTTGAAGTCCATCACCAAGATATTTGAGATGAAAAACACAGGGTTCATTCATCTGAAGGTTCATTCTAAAACAGATATTGTGTACAGGTAATCTTCAACTACTTTGCCACGGTTATGAAGTGAATCATTGTAGTTGTTACATTAGTAACACAGTTATTTGGTGAATCTGGCTTCCTGATTGACTTTGCATGTCAGAAGGTCCCCAAAAGTGATTATGTGACCCCGGAACACTGCAACCGTCATAAATATGAGTCAGTTGCTAAGAAACTGAATTTTGATCATGGGACCAGTGCTGCCGTTGTCATAAATGTGAAAAATGGTCATAGGTAACTGTTTTTAGTGCTGTTGTAACTTTGCACAGTCACTAAACGAACTGTTGTACATTGAGCATTGCCTGTAGTTGGCGATCCTGCCCACTCCCAACTGCTTCTTTTAAACCTACACCCAGTGTAAGGTGCTAAACTACGCGGGTGCAAGAAAACACATGGTCGTATCTGAACACAAGAGCATTCAGACCTCTTTAATCATTTCAGAATAGCACAATATTCAGAAACAAGCAGAGAATTTTGAAAGGACTTTGCGATTAGTAATTAAGCCATTGAACTTCAAATTACTCCAGGTCCACCAAATGGCTCCCGACATGTTCTACTGTATGAAACTTTTAGAAGAAACCGGAATCTGTGTTGTTCCTGGAAGCGGGTTTGGCCAAAGAGAAGGAACTTATCATTTTAGGTAAGGTCTGGACTTACAGATACTGTCGCAATGAAATTATTTCCTTGTGATCACCACCAGATGTTCACTAAAGTACTTTTTCTTTTCCTTCTAGGATGACGATTCTCCCACAAGTAGAGAAACTAAAGATCTTATTGGAGAAAGTGAAAGATTTCCATATAAAATTTCTGGAGGAATACTCTTAAAATAAAGACTCCTTGTTTTTTTTTAAGACTGTATCTTTGAAAGTGCATTCAAGCTGCGACAGAAAAATAAGATTTTTCAGAGGTGGCGGTCTTTTTTAAATCAAATTCATGATAGAATTACAATGACTAGAGCTTCAGTTTGATAGAAAAGACTAGTAAAATACGAACCTACAAAAATAAGATACGGGAAATGCATTAAAAGAATTATTAACGCAGTCATTGGTTGCAAATTGAGATGTCACAAAAATTGCCTCAGTCCCTCAGTATGAAAGTAAAACTTGATTGCCTTGGTGCCGATAAACATTCTTTATGCTTTTCTTTAAAAAAAAAAAAGATATCACAATATCCTTTCCTACCAAACCAATTTAGGAAACTACAGTTGTACAGGTAAGCTAAAAGCACAGATGAAATTATTTGGAACTCTTCTGGTGAACCTATCTAAGGGAGATGAAGTGAAGAAATCTTTTGCAAATAAAAGTATTAAAATGTCTTTGTTTCCAGATCAAAGAAGAGGCTCAAGATTCAGTGCCTTTTGAATTTCTGGCAAAACTGCCTCAACATGCAAAATACAACATTTATCTCCTTTGATAAGAAGATAGGTCACTTCATCTGTTTACAAGCATGACTGAAAAATAAGTAAAAGGAAGAGAGCTAGAAAGAGACTTGGAGGATTATAACAATACTTAAACTCCTATTTAATTTTAGCCAGCTGTTTCCAAGCTAGAAATATTGAGTTTAAGCTTCCTTTGGCCAGGATGAGTGCTGGTTCTTAATAAATTGGGAAGCGGGGAGCAACTTGGTTGCAGAAATCTGAGTAGGAACATTTTGGAAAATAAATGTCTGGTTACTCTGGATAAAGTGTCCAAACAAAAGGAGACCTTATTGGGATGTTGGATTATATCTTTGCATAGTAAACAAAAATTGATGATAACAGAGAAACATTTGCTCATAAAAACTTCTGGTTTTCTTGATCACTGTTCTTCGTGAAAAGGTCTCTGATTGCCCTTGCATAATCTTAAAGGGGCCAACATAGACAAGACTGAACAATAAGAAAGGGTCCAATTTGATGTTGCCTCCCTGAATATTCAGATTCCTTCAGGACTATGATTTGAATTTAAATTGTTATTAAACTAGGACTTGGTTGGAAACTTAGTCTGCTTCAAACTGTGTTTCTGCTTGTCAAATTTCAACTGTTCAGAAGCTATTCACTCAAATTTCTTAATTGAGTAAATGTTGTTTGATGTTGGAAGGCCGATCTATGTACATGAAAACATAAATAACGGAACAGGATAGCAAAAGAAATGTTTCTCACATGTCTAAATAGGATGTCACTTGCTTATTTTGACCCATGGCGTCAAGCCTCTAATAACAAGATTCCACCATACAGTAGAAGGAAAAAATCATATGGAGTTTCATTAATCGGGCTGAATTCCAGGAGAAGAAAAATTCTTTTTTCCAGATTGTTTCACCAAAGGGCTAATGGCTCTTTGCCAGATAAGACTGAAATATCCATTAGTTGTGTTTTGAAATCCCTCTTCTCAACCTTTAAAACTTCTCTTATACTTGGATATCATAAAATAAGGTTTAGAATTGCTTCCCACCTAATGCTCTTCAGATACAATGGGAATTATGGATTCAATGCATCTGAAGATCTCTTATATTGCATTTTGTCATGTTGGTCGAGTTGTTACAAATTATATCAAAAATGTACCATCAGTACTCAAAAGGTTTCTTAATTATCAAGATTATATGTCATTTTGAGTAGCTGAGCCAGTTTCCCGAAGTTTCATACCAAATATCTCTTCTGTTGGAAATTACTTGACCGCACTGTTTTCTTAATGATATGCTTGGTTGGGTGCAAGTTTCATACTATAAATTACAATTGGCTGCCTTTTAAATCATATTTGGTATTTTGTTGACGACATCAATTTGTAGGAGGGTGATAGCAATTCTCAAAGCCGTGGCAATTTCCTCCCAAATCTTTAAGTTGCCATGTACTACATGAATGTAGTCAACCAATGCAAGAGAATGTTAACGCTTCATCCAGAGCAGTTGCAATTAAAAATATTTTTGTAAGTAAACATTTTCAGATGGCATGGATGGGAAGTGAGCATTTGTAGTCCTTTGTTTTTCTCTTGTGGTAACTTTTTAATGCTACTGAAAATGGTGTCAAGTTTACATGTTTCTAACTCATGCTTTTACAGAGAGACTTTGAAATTTTACTTCTTTGCACTTTTTAAAAGTGGGAGGTAGTGCTACTTTTGATTTACTCTCAACTCTAAAATACCAACTTCTAGCTTTCCTTGTGACTCAGAAACGGTATTTTATGGTGCCTTTGGATTTCTGATATTTTGGAGTTTATAACATCTCTGAGCATGGTGCATAATATAATCATTGTTAAGGCTGATTTGTCACATTGGTCATTACTGCAAGGAAATTAACATGCCACTTAATTGTCCTTGGCTAGTGATTGTCATTTTCTCAGATCTGCTTCCAAGCCTTGATAGATATGATCCTCGGATGGTTTCAAAATAATTAAACTGTAGGAGCCATTTCATTTTTTTTTTTTTATGTCAAGAATTGATTACCAAGGCAAGCTAACATTATGATGTTTGGTCATGGGTTTGTTTTTCCTGCCTTCTGGTGTTCTTCATCCTGTTCTTGGATGACTTTTTAAATTTTTACTAATAAAAGAGCTATTATGAACTGTGGAAGTCATTTAATAATTTGTATGATGCAGGGTATCCTGGTTCACACATCACAACCAGTGCAGTGCTTAACCATGATTGGGCTCATACTAGTCCATTTTCCAACTCCCCATGGTTAGGCTTGCATTGAGGGGATTAAAAAAGTGGATACCTGAGTTAATTCAGCACCCTAATATAAATGTGGTTGGCTGTTGTCCCCCCCCCCAAACTGCTGGTCAAATCCAGACAGTAGTTCACTTATCATTCATGTGTGTTATCTGAATTCAGAAAAACCATAGTCAACTGGCTGGTTGCCACTCCAATCGAGACGCAAAAGCTATATGAATCTCTACGTGTTAAATTTTGGTTACTTTTAACCTTGATCGGCTTTCGTTCCCAGTAGCTTTAGGTCCTTTGCAAAGCTAGCCAGTTGCATCAGCCTCTGGTCCTATAGGCTGCAAACCCAGACAGCACACAGTAACCAGGTTTAAAGCATTACCCACAGGTGCATAACTGGAACTCAGCCTGACTCCAGTTGAGACCTTCAGGGTTTTTTGGGGGGAGGGGGGTGTAGAATGGGAATATAGCTCCCATTGCCTCCTCAGCCCGGTCACCTTTGGTTGTTGACCGGGCAATCTGAATTAGCAGGTGCAGATCTGCTCCCACCCCATCTTTGCAAAAAAAACAAAAACAAACCTCAAAACTTTTTCAACAAAGGTCCAGCGCACCTGAATCTCTCTGTGTTGCTTCTACGCCCCCAAAGCGATCCTGGCAGCCGAGCTGGGAATCACCCCTACCACCTTCCCCCCCCCCCACTGCCCCATGGCTCCTAGGGGGCGTGTCTACCAGAGGGGCGGGTCTCTATAAATATCCCCCCCCCCTCACCTACGTTCCTTTCGGGGAGGCATCATCCCGCGGGCTCGGAGGTGGTCCGGCCAGGCTCAGTCCTCCATGGCGCTCAGGAAGCAGCTGGAAGACGCCAAGAAGCGCAGCGCCGACTCCGGAGTCGAACCGGATCGGAACGTCTTGAGCAAAGAGCAAAGGCACCAGCGGATCAGCCTCTTTCTGCAGGATTTCGACCACCAAGGTGAGGCTTCAAGAAAGGGGCGCATCCCGTTGTGGTCCTTCCTTCCTTCCTTCCTTCCTTCCTTCCTTCCTTCCTTCCTTCCTTCCTTCCTTCCTTCCTTCCTTCCTTCCTTCCCACGTTTGTCTCCCTGAACGGGGGAGGGGTGTTCTTCCATCTTTCCCCAACCAAAGATCTTCAGACATTCTGTTGGACTACAAGAACCATTATGCTGAGACCTGGGATTCATGGGAGTTAAGCGTCTGACATCCCATAAGTTGGCAGGAGAAGTTAGGAGACGGTGTGATGCCCTCATGCTAAACTACAAGATACTATAGTTGGTTTTGGCTTCACACCGTGTGAGAACTTCATCCCTTTGATTAGTAGTGGTATTTATGGATTATCCTTGGGGAGAGCCTTGCCCATTGTGGTTTATTCAGTAACCCTCATTGGTGGTGCAAGTTGTTCTGGGTGTCAATTGGCTGACCCTAATGAGGCTAGCTTTGCGTTTGCACCTTGCCATCCTCCCCATCAATTTCCCCAATTACTTTGGAGAAAGTAATTGACACCCTTTTCATTCTCTGCTTCTCTATGGAGTCCTTGGTGCTCTCTGAGCTTGGCGGTTTTCATCTGGGTAACAAAACATCTGCAAGCAAATAAAACCACGTTCGGAGAGCCTCAAGGACCTCACAGGTTCAACCCTGAGCTCCATAGAGAGAAGGGGTGTCCAACCTTGGCAACCTTAAGGCTTGTGGACTTCAACTTCCAGCACACCTGGCTGGGGAATTCTGGGAATTGAAGTCCACAGGTCTTTCAGTTGCCAAGGCTGGACACCCCTGATAGACGGTATGCTCTTCTATTGACACCTGCTTCTCTGTTCAAGCAAAGGAACACCTGCAAGAGATGAAGAAGGAGCTGGCTTCACTTCTCCAGATGGCTGAGAAAGCCTTCAGAGTGGAGTTGCTGGCTCTGCCCCCAGCCATGAGAAAAATGAAGAGGAAAGACTTGTTGGGTGAGCCCTGGGCCCTGCTGCCCACTTTGCTTTCTCCCTTCTCCTAGCCCAGGTGTTTCTTCTCCTGACCTGTAAGCTTGCAGTCCCTACTTTGTTGTTGGTCTTCCTGAGAACCCTTCCATATCTACGAGTTCAGACAAAGTGGCATAAGAGGAAGGAACTCTTTCCCCCCATACCTCAAGGCGGTGTACTCTTTTCACCCTGGCCCACAGAGAGAAAGGGAGAGTGACTGGTGAAAGCCAACCAGACTTTCCATGGTTGAAGGTCTACCTGAACTCCATGGACTCGTCGAACTTTTTTTTTTTATTTAGCGGATGGGACGTTGTCACTGTTTTCTTCCTGGGTGTCTTTTGATTTCCCATTCTTAACTCTAGCCCCCAAATTTACTATCCCTGCTTAACTTTTTGAGATCAAGCTAAAAGCAGCTAAATATGGCTGCATCTCCAGAAGTTGCTAAATTCCAACTTCTAGCAATCTTTGCTGCTACTGGCCTGCTTGGATGCAGATCCTGAGAATTGTGATCCGGCTCCAGATATTTCTGATCTGTAGGATGCAAGTCACTTTTGTGAGTTGGCAGCCAGCTGCTTTGGCATAATGGTTTAATCTCTGTCTTCCAGATCTAAAAGAGGAAGATGCAGCTGCAGCAACAGCTGTTGCCACTCTGGAGAAAGTAAGTATCTGCAAAGAGTCCGTTGTATCAAAGTATATTAAAACATTGAATGGGAATAGTATGTTGTATCTATACCAATAGGGAGATCTCTGATAGGTTGATGGGGATGGAATTAGTTCTTCTATTTATATACTATTAAAACTCTCTTGTCTGTAACTTTAACTGGACGAATCGGTGCATCATAGAACAATTTTTGAACCAAGATACCTCCAATGGGCTAACTTACAGAAGGCACCCAAAATCCAGGACTCATAATTCCTGTGGAATCGAAATTTGGCAAAATATTTTATGGTGTAAAATTGCCGTAAGGATTTGAGACATAATGCACAATGAACAAAAAGTTTTCTGGTGGTTGACATTAGAAGCTCTGCGCTTGTTGGAGGCATGGAGAAGTCTGGTGAGGAAATGTCTCTGAAACGCACACGCAAGGGAGTCATGGATAACATCTGTATCTGTTGGGATTTTTTTCCAGATATAGAACTATTAGCAGGATACTGAAACCTTATTTCTGATTATTTTATATAGCTAGAAATGGATGAGTTGTGCCTAATCTGGACGAAGGGATCTCTAGGATGCTAGTCTTAATTTTTTCCCTTTTCTCCCCATCGCCTCTAAAGAGCAACTGTGGCATTGGAAACCTGCACAGTCCCAGATTAATAAGGACAAACAGCAAACGAGGTAAATCTGAAAGTGCTCTTCCCAAGCTCTTCTGTACTGATCCTTTTGGGAGCTGAAGGGAGTAATGGTGTCTAAGACATCTGGAAAGCATCAAAGTCTGCTTGATTCTAGTTTCTACAGCTTGGACACCTACCAGATAAATGGACCTCAGTTTCTTGACTTCTCGGTCAAGTTCTACTTGCTGAGAAGTTCTAGAGATTGTGGGAATGCCAGGAGCTACTTTAAAGGGGGATCAAGGTGGCGCACCCAGCTCCTTTTGAACCCATTTTGCCATAGTTGTGATGAAAAATGGCTGGTTATTAGGGCCATGCATATGTCAAAGGATTAGCTACTGAATCCCTAAGGTCTAAACTTTCCTGTTATGTCATTTCTGTATTTACTTGTACCTGCTCTTAGTCTCCTAACTCTTGACCCAAATGTCCTTTACAGTTAAAGTCACCACAATTGTGGAATATAAGGAAGCAAAAGAGGACCAGGGGACACAAAGCAAGAAAACATCTCAGAAGGTAGGTGGGAAAAAGGATAATGATCTGTTCTGTTTTCTTGAGCCTGTTTTCTTTGCAAGTTTGAAGGCACCTTTGTCTGCACCAGGTTTGTATTTCATTCCCCCAAAGTTGCTTTGGATTTAATGCCATGCCAATAAGATATATATATATACCTTATTATTATTCTTATTTTTTTGCAGATATTTAAAACCAAGTCACTGACTTCTGCCATCACAGATAAAAAGGGTATTCTCTGCAGGTAAGAGCGGATCAATGCTTTTAATTCATACTGTATTTAAAGATGAAGGCAATTTGTCCACTGAGAGGGATTGATAAAAAGATGGCACCACTGGTTAGCTGAGACGCTGGACAATATTCCAGGGGCGAGGATGAGTGCTTAGCAGTATCGGGTGTCCAAAATGGGTGGGGGGGAATCCTCTTATGGGAAAAACCTCGGTAACGAACCAGTAAGAAATGAGCATGGCTTGATTGCCAAAGGTGCAGTGGACTTTTCTGCAGAGGAGTGAAAATATGGAAAAGAGACTGGTGGATGGATAATCAGAATTTGCTCTGGACTGGAATGTTTTCTTGGAGCACTTGTCTGTATCATAAGCAGAGTCAGGCCCAGGCTCTTTTTTTTTTTTTTAAATTTTAGTGGAGAAGACCTTTAAGCATCAAGCTGTTGGAAATTAACCTAGCTGGAATAGTCTTAAAGCAGTTGAAGGCTGGGAGCTCCTTTAGCAAAAGCAAGTGGATCAGTGAAGAAGTTATGGGTTGCTTCCAAGAATCCTTTTTTTTTTTGTTTGTTTGTTTCAAGGAAAGAATAAAGTCAGCTGCTGTTTCTCAGGACTGCACAGAATAGTTTTTCTTCCAACATTTTAGGCCTTCATCAATTGCATCTTAGCTATATTTGCAGGGGTGTGTGAACAGGAGCAGTTATAGGAAGAAATATTGTGTGTGTGTGTGTGTGTGTAATTATTCAAGACGGTGTCTTCCATCAGGTCTGCATCTGTATGTTCCACTCCAAACATGAGACGCATTGAGCGATCAGCTTCTCTGCGTGAGCCGCCGAGATCTACTCCCAGGTTCACCAGCTCAGGCTCTAAAAGGT